AATTCTGTGGACTATTTTATCTTTTTCTATTTACACTAATTTTTTATTTTATTATATTGCTGGTTCAAAATTTCGTGCAGCTTGTTTAGAAACATGGACTGATATCTGTGACTATATACAAACAAAACTTGATTGTAATGGTCAACGATCACGAAGTTCACGTAATCCACCAACAAATCAAAGATGTGCCAAGCATCGAATGTTAACATCCTGCCAGGTCCGTACCGTGAATCTTATTAATCCACCTCGCCGATCTCCATAGATTATTTTTCTGAATATTAACTGCATCCGTTCCGCTCTGCACATCATGCTTTGATCCCATCCACCTTTACATTTGCACGGTGTGGATGTGGATGTGTGGTGTGTGTGTGCGATGTGCGTATTGGTGTGGGTGGTATGGGTGTAACTGTCAAGCGGCGTGTGGGGTGTGGCTGTGGGTGTGAGTGTGGCATCATTCCATCTAAAGCCACTCCGACTCCCGCACCCTTATTGTAGGATTGAATAATTATGAAAATGCTTTTCTTGAACCTCAATAGACTTATCAAAATTATCAAAGCCAATTATAAATTGCTTTTCAAAATGATTATTAATTATTACTAGTAGGCACTGAAATGTTAGTATTTATAAAAGATATATACAGTTTTTCGGAAGATATTATATAATTATCGGTCACATCAACGCCATACATATGAAACTATCAATATAGTTTCACGCTTAGATATTTGTTGATATTAAGTTTGACGTAAATTATCACCAATAAAAAATTAAATTAAAAATTACATTCTATTACAATTATTATTAAAATTTATAAATTAGAATAAATATATCTATTATATTATTGAAGAAATCGAAAAAATCGAATCTGTTTCATGAAATGTTTATAGATTTAATTAATTTTTTATATTTAATCTCACATATTATAAACATGATCTAAATTAAATATTAATTTTGTCATTTTCCATACAAATATTATTAACGATTTTATCAAGTCGAAAATGTTGATCAATCAATTGTTAATAAATTGTATTTCCAGTCCCTACTCAATTCCCTCTTCATTTTCTAAACAAAAGATTGTATATTCCCTGTTTAATAAGTTTTCACTTTTATTGTTTAAATTCTTAATTTTTGCTTCTATTGGTAATGCAGAGCTTTGATGAGTGTTTCAATATTTCAATAAATAACACGAAACGCGTCGCCGAAATTAACTCTGCATTTCTATTAAAATAATTTTTATTCAAGCATATTTATTTAATATTTTACTGTTATTTATTTTCGACAGAAAATCAGTTGCTGAAAAGCAAGAGTTGAGAATAGCAGATTGATTTGTATGATTGGCATATAGATCGATCTGTTTCCAATTGATTTATGTACACCCACACCCACATCCAGTGTAAATTTGTCTCGAATTGATTCGTTTGGAAATTTTTCTTCGAAATTTTGAATCAAACAAGAGATACTAAGCCACCTGATGAGACTGTCTAAGCAACAGTAGAAACGCGTCGTGGTACCTTTCTACACACCCACGCCCACACCCTACTAATTCTTTAGTAGTATGGTAGCTTTACACACTCAATACGAGAGTCGTGATTCAACATTGAAGTTGAATTGTTTCTTTTTTTAGTATTTGGTTCAAAAAATTTTTCTGAATTTTTGAATCATCTATACAAATACGTGCCACTTGACAAGTTAGTCAGCAAAATGAAATACTAATTCTGTAGTATTGTGGTAGCTTTACACACCCAAACCTACGTTCTCGAGTCTTAACTACCTCATTTATTGCATGAGTTTCTGACTTGTTATGTAACAATAAATTCTAAATACGCCTGACGAAGATTGTGTGAGCAGCAGTCGAAATGCGTCGTATGATGCTTTGAACTTCAACTCTTATATTTAATATGTATTATGTATTGGTTTGAACTTTCTAACTTTAGATCTCTTATACTAATACTTAGACCACTTGATAACATTGAGTCAGTAACATTAGAAATAATCTATTAGGTTATCGTGGTAACTATACGCACCCATTTAGCATTGATTATTGCGGCCTTCTGCACACGTCTGGTTCTTTTCTCACAACAAAACTCGGCTATAGTTTCGAACTTTGAAGCGATTTCTAAACTTATGAAAGAGTTGTGTGGGTTGTTGAGAATCATTTTTAGAGTATCTTGGATTTTTATGACACCTTTTTGAGTGTTCCGATTTCGTTTGAAAAATGATTCCGTATGATGCAATTTTTTTCAGCGTAGTTTAAGCTGTATGATTAGAAATTAGAGCTAAGTAAACTTAATTTGAAATTAATTTGTAGGACAAAGAAAAACTGCGCTCTTTTTTCGGCCATTAACATTCACTTTTGTATATGTTTAATTACATATGCTTATCATGGTAACAACAGTTATGGAAATAATTCTTGAGGGTGTATGTGCATTGAAGTGTCACCCACACTCTGATTGACAAAGTCATTTTTTCTTGAATATTATTTTATTTTTGTTTTTATTGAAAAGCACAAGTGAAGTTCAATGAAAGTTATTAAAAGCTAACAGGTAAATGTTATCAAATAGGCTGGATAAGCCAAACGATTTTCGTACACAATGTAAACTTTACTGCCTCTTGTATCACCTGACACACTATTATATCGTCGACCAGAAACGCTCTCATTCTTCTTCGGAGGTCGACGTAAACTTGGATCACTTGGGCAATCATATACGTCACCTGTTAGCACTTGAGCTAAAAACACTTGGCGTTTGCCATTCGGTAACTTGAAATCAAAACCCGTACACGAGTACGAAGCCTTTTGAGCAAAATACGTACCAATACCCCACTTGCCACTTGTACAAAATGTCATGTCAAAACCGTATTCACCATTGTAAACCTCACTGGGTTGTGTATTATTTGTTCCATGAAATAACTCCATTTCAATCTGTAAATTTGGCATAAGATGTAGTTCCTTTTTCAGCTCTCGACGGCGAAATGCATAGTGACTCCACATGCGCACATTTTGTACTCGTTCAATTTTCTCAATTTTTACCTTATCCAAAGTTTCTTTCATACGAGTTTCGATACGAATAAAGTTAGGGTCATCTCTGGGGATTTCAACTAATTTGCATTCTGTTTCTTGATTACCCCATTCTTCAGGTGGACGCAATTCATCAGCATTATCTGCATGCGTTTTTAAGATATCTTGAGCATATAAGGCAATTTTTAATTTTGCCTCGAATACATTCGCTTTCAAACCTTTTAAAGTCATTTGTAATTGTTCTGAGCATTCCTGTTCAAAATTAATTTCAATTTGTTGTTGAGCTGCAATTTTGATCAGCTGTTCCTTATGATCTTCAAGGTCTTGACTCAGATTTATGGAGAAAGGCTCCGAAATCGTCGCCGAGTCAATTACTTTTCGAATCGCTGCTTCAGCCTGTTTTACAGATTCGTTAGTTATGCCAGTAATATCCCAAGCGGTTTCTGTTGTAATTGCTTGTAAATTATATGAATCCAATGGCTTCGGCTGATACACAACCGATGGAGAGTCTTCTTCTTCTTGTACTACTGGATAACGAATAATGTCTCGTGGTGTATCAGTATCTGGTCTTAATTGATATCCACAAACAAGACGACTATTTAATGCATTTGGTTTATTTTTTAATATTTGTTTTAAATCTGGATTAAAATGAATCTGATAGTTAACAATAGTACCAGTCGTTAAATTATCACATCCAATTATCAATTCTGAAGCTGTCCAAGTCTTTACATACTGTTGGAATGCAGTTTCTATTGTACGCATATCATGATCACAGTATAGCTTTTCGTCATCATCGTCTTGCCAACACCACTTAGCTTTCAACGGAGGTAGCTTGCAGTACCTAACATCATTATTATCACATACCAATGTATTTCTATGATCGTTGTTAACTTCACGTGCAAATGAATTGCAAACTGCATCGTCCATATCTAGTAGAATAACTTTTCTTACGTTTGATTTTGGAAAGTCAGCAAAGAATTGTTTTATTGCACAAACTACAATATTTGTACAATCCTTCAATGGAAAACCATAGGTGTTAGCACTAATAGCTGGCAATGCAACACTTGTAAACTTTTCATCTTCAGCCAGCCGTAAACTTGATAAGACAGTAGAGAATAATAATGGATGTTCTTGTTGTTTACCATCCTTATATTGAGGACCTATGGCATGAATAACACATTTGAAAAGAAGATTACCAGCTGTTGTCTTTACTGCTGTACCAGCAGGAAAGGGTGAACCTTTATTACCAGCAATTAATTGTTTACATTCTTGATCAAGCGCAGGACCAGCAGCATCAGCAATTGCCTTATCTACACCACCTGCATGGTACAATGGTCCATTAGCAGCACTCACAATAGCATCGACATTTTTTGCCTTGGTAATATCTCCTTTCTCGACAACTATCGTTTGGCCACGATTATTCACGACCGTTATCATAATCGAGCTGGTATCAGTATTATCAGCATTTAGTGTAGAATTAGTATTATCTGCTTTAACATCTCGAATAATAGTTTTTGTCTCACGCTCAATACGACATGCTAGTTTATATGCATCAGCCCGCATCAGGTCTGACTCAGCTGAAGAAAGTTGTAAACGGCTTTTAACAATTTTTTGTTTAATATCATTGATAATACAATCGATTTTTTGTTTAATTTCATTAATAATATCAGAACCACAATTTATTGTCACGCCCTTATAATTTTGATATTCCACAAAAATTTTTTGAGATTTCGCTTCATTGAGCAAAGCAGTAATACCATGATTTACAAAACGACGAATATTTGGTTGAATGGGAATGAATTCAGAAATCCGCTTTACTCTAGGTTTATTTACTTCTCCCAAACTTAATAGAGCTTCTTTGATATCATCGGCGAGCACTTTTGATCGTGCAGAAATGATAATAGTATTCTTATTTCCATCCAATCGTACATCAGTATCCCATTGTTTTTGGAAATCAGCAATAGATGGTGACTTTTTTATGTTTAGTGCAGTATTTATAGTACGATACTCATCTGCTGTTGGTTTCCACTCAACATATCCATCTACGATATTTTGGCATTGCTCAACCACACCATTAATTGCTTCTTCATTCAGACCAACAATCGATACGGTAATTTTTGGTGTTGTTTCTCTTCGTTCTGTCGCTGTATAAACCTTGATCCATCCTATTGCTTCACAATCATCTGAGTTTTGTATTGCTGTTAGACGTGGACGAATATTTTGCGCGATGTTTCTTGAATGGTCCCAACTGCCACAAGAAAAATGTTTTTCTTGTTCGGACAAACTTTCGAGAAAATTTTCGACGTTTTCTTTCGCCAAATTAATGCGTGAATTACAACCAATCAATTTCAAACAATCATGTCCATCATCATCATCTTGTTCTTCGCTCCCACGTTTACGGTAAAATGGCAAAAAGATTGTTATCTTTATGCGATGCGTTTTTTCCAATTTTCTGATGTCAGAAGAAGCTTTTTTTCGGAGAAACACCGCCATAGTTTTTGAAATAGGAAGTTGTACTTCACTTTCAACATTATCATCCAGACAATTTTTAATTTTGGACATGGCTTTGCTCACATGATCCGGAAATCCTAAGACTTTCACTCGCCAAACACCGTTCTTATGAAATACGAACATCTGTACAGTAATATTCGAGAGAGCCTGAACGAGTCTAAGGAGATAACGTTTAATTTGAGAACATTGGTTGCGAAAAGTAGTATTCTTTTGCGGAGGTTTGCCTTGCTGTGGTTGTTTTAGAATGTACGAAATTTCTTCTTGTGTTAATGTCCATGATTGAGTGCGCAAATTATAACTTTCCAATTCTTTTATGGCTTTATATAAAGAATCTTTTGAATCACTACACAGTGCGATTCGAATATATTTTTTTACACAAACATGAGAACGTTTGGCATCGCCACATGCACTTTTTGCAGTTGATGATGCACGTGAACTACTACTCTTGGAATCATCATTTTCATCGTCTTCTGATTGGTTCTCGTCCTGATCACTATCGTTTTCGTTATTGTTAGTAGTCACTGAAGCATCTGTTGATATTTCATGATAAAAAATTCCTACACGATATTTTTGTACAAAATTCTTCAAAAGCAATCCTTTTGAGCATGATTGTAAATATTTTTTCAATTTATTGGCGATCGTTATATCTTGTTCAGGAAGTAATTGTTTTAGATAAGATTGTATATTTGTAATGGCTGACTGATTTCCTACTAGTTGCAGTTTGCCATTTTTAAGTGTTGTATCTTTAATACCTGATTGTTTACAAATTGTATCCAAGATTTTGTTCTGGAAACTTGCAAGAAAATTGCGTGCTGCACCACTTAATTCAATCGATAATTCGATATGGTCAGACTGATGCGAAGCATGCATGTTTGGATGAAGAAACGGACAATTATTTATATTTTTGCACTGATCCCCACTGAGGCATTTCTTTTTGTGAGGAGGAGGATGATTAGAAGTACACTCGTAATTAGTACATTTTTCTTCATCCTTGCAAACATTCCATCCTTCCGGATGATCAGATCGACAGCCAGCTTTGAAGCATCTGATGCCAAATTTGCATTGTGTCTTAGCGACCTTCGTCGGTTCTGATGCTGGTCTTGAATGAGCGTCAAGGGAATCAGTGTTTATACATGCAGCATAACTGTCGGACCTCTCATGATGATCTTTGTGATCTTCATCTTTGACGCGCCGATTGCCATTATCTGCATAGGAACCGAGTCGACGATCAGACTCAAGATCGACAGTCTGGTTTTGGGCTTGACTACCTGGCCCTACAATACAGTACAATATGTAAACCTCTTCATTGTAAGAGTATTTAAATGGGACAGACACGAGCTATTGAAACATAAGGAGGACATGATGGATTCGCACTCATCCAGATTATCATCACATGTGCTGTTGTTTTGGGTGTGGCTGGAGGAAGCGAAAACGCACACTCTCACATGCAAATTTTCTTAATAGAAGCTCATGGCTTTTTTTTCTCGGTGAGAGGAGGGGGGGGGGGGGAGAGAATTATTGTTGAAGGCTCTATAATCTTACCAGTGAATTCATGCCACGGATAAGCTTCATTAGCTGTCTTCAAGAGTTCGACTTTCGCGTGTGGGTTATGAATGATAATGATATAATGTCTGTGGCAGAAACGAAGATTGTTTATGTATGTAATGAAATCGATGTCCCCACTTATAAGCACTATTGTGGCAGGTGTCTTGTGCTGCTCCTTGAAAACTTGTAAAGCCATGACAATTGCGCCGTCAGCAACCCCCGTCTTGTCATCTGCTATATGCCTAATATCCACCCTGGCATGCTGAAGACCCTTTTGATGTTGTTCTGGTAGACGTCTGATATCGCAGTAAATCGTAAAAGTACCCTCCGCTAGATTCCGATCTGTCATTAGCCGTTGCCGTAGTTTCATGACAATATCAAAGGCATTTTTTCCGGAAGGAATGGCCACATTTTCGATATCCCAAAACACGTTAACTGTTCCGTCAGGTTGAACTGGACCTTCTGCAAGAAAAGTAAATTGATTAATTAATCATAATTTCTACAAAAACTAATCATGAACTCAACAAGGATATTTCAAGCGCATGAAATCTTTTTGGCGGTTTTTGAATGAGTGTTTATAGGTGAATGGGGTTTTCACAAAAAAAAAGAGTTCCATATTACCAACCAAATTTTTCTATGGTATAGTCTTTTATATCCTTAGGTTGTTGAACCTTTAGCGAAATATCTTCAACAGTCATATATCTACTCAACAATATTATTATTCTATAGTTGATACCAAAGGGTTCCGACACCCACCCGACGACGCTTGACACGACTGACGAGTGCGATAGTCTATGTAAGTATATGCTTTCAGTACTTAAGACTAGAAAACTTTTGAAAATGAGGGAGAATTTTCCGGTGGATCATTTTAATCAAATGACTTTTAGAATTTATGTAGGTGTGTTGAAGGGAAACTAAAATTTTGTGTCACATTGATTTTAAATAAACTTGAAATTAGTTGCTCTGTTAACTACATAGATTATGTTGTTCAGACAATATTCGATATTGGCCTTTATGGATCATACATAGCGGGCAATCAATTATATATAATGTGAGCAATCGAAAGCATACTTTTGCAAGATTCAAATAGTGTTGGCTGTCACGAAAACTGTGAACTATCTAGCAGAGTTAAAATTGTTGTCATCAAGCTTTTTTTTAAATAAAATCTACTGAAATGGCAATCGAAACCAATATACAATACATTTCCTTGACGCTTGTTATCAAGTCATAAAAAGAATAGTTCGTTAGTCTGTGAGAATCTGGGTGCACGAATCCAATAGTTATCCACACCCACACCTTTTGAATTTTCTTTTTACTCCATCTAGCTGAACTTATTGAGGAAATACTAGCTTCAAAAGTCTTGAGGCAGTTGGTAAGATTCATTCGTATATGCGTAATAAGATAACTTCCATTTTCGCCGAAAATGAAGTTTGTCGATTCCTTTATCGCCGAATGAATTTATCACTGAAAACCAACATAAATTGCATTTAACTGGTCTTATAGACAACAATTATATTTTAGATAATTAGTCAATAATATCAAGTCAGTTGGTCTCCAAGTGAGATAGTTTCCAAGTCGGTTGGATTGACTTCCAAGTCAGATGACTACCAACTGACTTGATATTATTGACTAATTATCTAAAATATAATTGTTGTCTACAAGACCGATTAAATGCAACTTATATTCGTTTTCAGTGATAAA